AGCCATTTGTGATTCCAAAAGAAAACCGCGGATCCCAAACTATATGGCCATCGGACATTGCGGTCTAAAATCTGTTTGAGGGTATCGATATCTTTCCAAAGAGGGGAGGTGCTCTCCCTTCCCTCTCCACTTTTTGACCACATCCCAAATCCATCCACTTCGTACTTTGATAGCCGCACTTTATAACAAAGCTGCTCTTTGCAAGTGAGACTCCGCCACCACCACTTACATAGCAGTGCAACGTTCATAAGCGGCAATCTTCTCACCCCTAGGCCTCCGTCTCTCTTCGGTGTGTAAACCTTATCCCATCGAATAAGGTAGTATTTTCTTTCATCTCCAAATGAGCCCTATAGAAAGTTACGCATCATACATTTAATACGCCTAGTCACTGCCCTTGGCATTCGCAGAAAGGACATTGGTAAATAGGGAGATTTGCTAAGCAAGAATTTAACAAGGTGACTTTGCCCCCCCAAAGATAAGTACTTAGGCTTCCAAGGTGTAGCTTAACTTGCACCCTTTGTATGATACTGTCCCACATAGCAATGTGTAGGCACCCATCGGAGATTGGCATGCCCAAATATTTGAAAGGGAATTTGTCCACTCTACAACCAAATCTCAATGCTAGATCTCTAACTAGCTCCTCATCACAATTCACCCCAATCATTGCCGTTTTTCCAAAATTAACTTTCAGCCTCATTAACACCTCACAACAAATCAATAATATCTCAATCTTATCAATTTGCTTCCTATCAGCATCACAAAAGAGGAGTGTGTCGTCAACATATTGTAGGTGAGTAACTGGAACTCTTATAATATTTCCTCTATCTTTCTCACACGACTTAGACAATTTCTCGCTCCATTGATTTTGGCAATGTAAAAAGACACACCATGCACTTGCCAAGGATGGTGGAGCCCCAATGGCTACATAAGCATTGTAGTTATCTCCCTCTTCAGTCATTTCTTAAAGAAAATGGTTTGATAGGGCTCCAGTCTTATCCAAGTAAGTAAAGCCTCACCTCATAACTCATCCAAAATTACAATTCAAGCTGTTTGAAAACTTTTACATCGATCATCTCAGTTTGAGCGTTATGGTTATGAAAAAAAAGATTTTAAGCACTACAAATGGTGTATATTGTAACAAATTATCTGAACTTTCCATTGCACCCTAAAAATAAGTGTTCATAGATCTGCAAGATCTCTACTTTTTTTTAGTTTCAAATTTTATTGCTTGTGATGAAAATTGATCTAAAGTGAGGCTTTATTTTGTTTTCATAAACCCTAGGCTTTAAAAAAACTCTCGTCCCTCTCTAATTAGATGAGGGTGCATCTTGCAATCAACTCTCTACCCAAGAGATGGAGAACACTAGTTGTGCCTCTGTAATGGGCTGCAATTTCGTCTTTATAATGTAGTTAAGAAACGGATGAGCTTTGCTAATCTCTAATCTAATGAAAGATGTTTCTACTTTCTAATATATATGAAACAATAATTTTAATGACTCCCTTTGATATGTTTGATGTTTCCAATTGCAATAATATGGTGTCTTTTTTTTTCTAATTAGGGTTTAGGAATGAGGGGTGAATTCCATGGCTCAGTATTGAATTTCAGGTCATAGTCTTACATCCTAGGTTGCAGACTCGATTTCGATGTGCATCATTCAGGAATTTTTTTTGGTTAATTTAGTGGGGAATACAGACCTCTACCTGTTTTCTAAATAATTAGATTTTTAATCTGTAAGTGAGATCGGAGAGCATCTAATATACATATAGTGTTACCACCATGACTCCTTGACTATCAAAAGTGCACTTCCCCTCTCTCTTGGACTTGAATAATGGCTTTCACATCCTCTTATCTCTCTCTCTCCCTTTGGACTTGACTGATGGCTTTCCCATATCTCATCTCTCTCTTTGGATTTGAATAATGGCTTTCACATATCCTCTCTCTCATATTAATTATTGAGTTAGCCCCTATAATTAGTAAATTAGGTAAATGCGTGTTTTCCAATTCGAAAATTTAAAGCTGTCCTAACCCCTAAGTTGTCCCTTATTAAATGATTGACCAAAATACCTTTTGATGTTTGTTTACTATATTTCCATCTAGGGAAGATTATGGTGTTATTGTCTATTGAAAAGGATCGAATGCCCCACCAAACAAACCACCCTATTCATAATTAATTATGCCAACACAAACACGAGTTTCTAGCAAAGTTTTCAAAGCCACTCTGCTTCTCAATAAATGACTTACAAACCGACCCATTTGGAGAGGTTCCTACAGCCCATGGTCACCTATACAAAAAAAGAGCCTAGCATAATCCGGTCCGGATCCATTGGGATTTGGATTTATCCAGATCTAAACCCAAACGGATTCATAATATTTGGATCCAGATGTGGATCGGAAAAGTATGTATGGGATTTGGATCTAAATCTTGACCCTATCAGATCCAAAAAATTTATGATATAATTATTTTAAATCTAAAATATAATAAATGACTTACAACCCGACCCATTTGGAGAGGTTCCTATAGCCCATGGTCACCTATACAAAAAAAGAGCCTAGCATAATCGGGTCCGGATCCATTGGGATTTGGATTTATCCAGATCTAAACCCAAACGGATTCATAATATTTGGATCCAGATGTGGATCGAAAAAGTATATATGGGATTTGGATCTAAATCTTGACCCTATCAGATCCAAAAAATTTATGATATAATTATTTTAAAT